CCAACTGAAGGTGACAGATGACAGAAGAGTTACTACCTTTGTGGGGGCAGGCGTAGTGGTGATTAAAAGGAGACAGGCTAGGTTACACAGGTGTGTTCACTCAAGTTCTCCATTTAATATCTGTGCTGTATACTTCAAATAAAAGTTTAGCATATAAATGTTGCACTGAAAACAATTTTCAATCTGACAGGATCCTTCATTTGCCAAGTTTCAATGATTAAATTAGGCATCTGGATGGTGCTGAAATTTCAGAAAAGAAAATCAAGCTACGGCTATTGTCCTTAATCTGCCCAGAACAATTCTCCCAGGCCAGTTCTTCTAACAATGCATCTCACCTACTGTCCACAAGGTGATCAGAGGAGGTGACAGAGATGGGTCTAGGGACGCCTTAAAGTATTTAGCACACCTCCAGGCACAGGGTGGGCACTCAAATACTGCACTAATTTCTCTCAACGGATATATTCTTAAATCGGGGACCTATAAAAGTGTTTATCCACCTCACAAAAGTATCGAGTTTCTCTTTAAAAACTGATGCCAGTGCTGTGGCGCAGCAAGTTACGCCACTGCCTGCAACACTGGATTCCCTGTGAGTGCTGCTTTCAGCCCTGGCTGCCCCGCTTGCAATCCTGCTCCTTGTCATGTGCCTGGAAAAGCGGCATCAGATGACCTCAGTGCCAGAGTCCCTGCACCCATGTGGGACTTCAAGATGGAGCTCCAGGATCCTGACTTCTGCCTGGCCCAGCCCTGGCTGCTGCAGCCATTTGGGGAGTGTGAACCACCGGATGGAAGATATCTCGTTCTCTCTATAACTCTGCCTTTCAAATAAAGAAATCTTCTAAAAAGTAAAAAAAAAAAAAAAGAAGAAGAAGAAGAAGAAAAAGAAAGAAAAGAAAAGCTGGTATGATAAATTTAAAAGTCTTTAAGACTATTTCCATGTTTTGGGAACAATTATGCAAATATCAGACACCTGGAAGTCTAGTCAGTCCAGTCATGAAGATAACTATGAGCTATTAAATAATGGTCAGATTTTTTTCACTACAGGTATAGCATCCTTAGTCATACTCCACTCTCATCCTACTAACGGCCCCAAACACACCCCATGCCAGTAATTGACAACTGCTATTGCTCCCATTCTAGCTTCCTTAAATATTTTGTGTGCAGATTCTCACATAAACACACTAGTGACATCTGCATGAACATGCCATTTTTTTTTAAAGATTCATTTATTTATTTGCAAGGCAGAGAGTTACAGAGGCAGAGAGAGAGTCAGTCTTTTATCCACTGGTTCACTCCCTAGATGGCCACAATAGCTAGAGCTGGGCCAATCCAAAGCCAGTCGCCAGGAGCTTCTTCTGGGTCTCCCACATAGATGCAGGGGTCCAAGGACTTGGGTCATCCTCTACTGTTTCCCCAGGCCATAGCAGAGAGCTAGATTGGAAGTAGAGCAACCAGGGCCCAAAACTGCATCCATATGGGATGCCAGCACCAGAGGCAGAGGCTTAACCTACTAAGTCACAGCGCCAGCCCCAGTGGTGCCCATATGGGATGCCGGCACTGCAGGCAGTGGCTTTACCTGCTACACAACAGTACTGACCCTACCAACATGCCATTTATACTGTGGTTTAACCACAAGGGCTCTAATTTACAAGAATTATGTTAATTAGGGGCTAGAATTGTGGTGTGGAGGGGTTAAACCACCACACGCAACACAAGCACGCCATATTGGAGCACATGTTTATGTTTGGGCTGCTCCATTTCAGATCTAGCTTCCTGCTAATGTACCTGGAAAAACAGCAGAAGGTGGCCTGAGGCTTAAGCCCTACCGGTCATGTGGGAGACCTGGATGCAGGTCCAGGTTTCTGACTTCAAATGGCCCAGCCCCAGCTACTGCAGACATTTCGAGAGTGAACCAGTGGATGAAAGACCCCCTGCCTCCTCTCTCTCTTTCAAATAAGTAATCTTTTTTAAAAAGCACTTTTGGAAAGATTATGTTCATTAATAACTACTGAATCAGAGAAGGTATAACTCAATTCACCCACTTTATTATTCTTTTCTTGTTAGGCTTCCTTACTCTTAAAAAGAGCTGACTGGATAAGGCAGTGACAATAAACATCTAGCATTTCTTGAACAGTTAATATTGTGTCAGGCACGATCTTAAGTGTTTACATGTATTATTTATTTGGTATTCTTTTTTTTTTTTAATTTATTGACAGGTAGAGTTAGAGAGAGAGACAGAGAGAGACAGAGACAGAGACAGAGAGACAGAGAGAAAGGTCTTCCTTCCATTGGTTCACTCCCCAAATAGCCACCATGGCCGGAGCTACGCCAATCCAAAGCCAGGAGCCAGGTGCTTCTCCTGGTCTCCCATGGGGTGCAGGGCCCAAGCACTTGGGCCATCCTCCACTGCCCTCCCGGGCCACAGCAGAGAGCTGGACTGGAAGAGGAGCAACTGGGACTAGAACCTGGCGCCCATATGGGATGCTGGTGCCGCAGGTGGAGGATTAACCTAGTGCGCCACAGCGCCGACCCTGTATTTCGTATTCTTTAAAATGTAAGTCAGATACCAGGATAATGGTTTCTCCCTAAATCATTCAAAGAACAAAAGAACATGTATCTCATAGAAGTGAATAAAATGATACTAGCTTTAAGAGAAATGTATACGAAAATCCAGGCAGTTATTATTCAATTGGGTTTAACTTAAAAACAGAATAACAGAGCAAGCATTTGGCACAGAAGTTTAAGTCACCACTTGAGATGCCCACGTCCCAGATCAGAGTGTCTGGGAAAGTCCAAGCTGCTTGTGATCCAGCTTCCTGCTAAGGCGCACCCTGGATGGCAGCTCAAGCACTTGAGTCCCTGCCACCCATGTGGGAGACCCATACAGAGTTCTGGGCTCCTGCCTCCTGGCTCCAGCATGGCCCAACCTTGGCTGTTGTGGACCATTTGGGCAGTGATCCCAGTAGATGGAAGATCTCTATCTCTCTGCCTTTCCAATAGCATGAAAATAATTTTCAAAAAACAGGGGAACTAAATCATATGTAAACATACTAGTATGACTGAGGTTTACATTAAGTATTAATTAATCTGAAAGGACAAAGAATATTTTCTTTTTATTTGAAAGGCAGAGAAACAGACTTCCCATCTGCTGGTTCACTCTCTCAAATGCCCTCCACCGCAGAGGCTGGGCCAGGCTGAAGTCAGAAGCCAGGTACCTGATCCGCACCTCTCTCATGGGTGGCAGGGCTCCGGGTAGCTGAGCCGCCACCACTACCTCCCTGAGTGTGCTTCGCAGAAACCTAGAACTGGGTGCAGAGACAGTATTTGAAGCCAGGCACTCTGATACCGGATGCAGGCATCTCGAGAGAATGCTGTCTTAACCAGTGCCCCAAACACTCATCCTGACAAAGATTTTTAAAAGCATTTATTAAGAATGCTATCATGAGTCCAATAAAAATGAAGTGCTTCCAAACATTATTTTGGGGTTAATACTGCACTTTAAAGCTTTTAACCTTGAATATGTGGAAGTTTCAATAGTGTAAATTTTTCTTAACTGGACAGGACCTAGAGATTGAGCCACAAAGTTACAGAATCAAATTACAGAACTGAGTTCCTCCAGTCTAGTCAATAAAGGACTCACCAAAATCTTCTAATTGGTATTTATCAAATACCTTAGGAAAAGGGACTTTCTCACTCCTATTTTCTAAACAGCTCTAATTTTAAGAAAACTGTTAATATTTAAGCAAACTTTTCACTGTAATTCCTACTTTTATGACCTAACACCTTACACTTCATAAACGAGTAAGTCTAATCCCTGCCTCCTCTCAAAGACGGCCCCTCAAGCACGTGAGGAAAATTCCACTACTTCTCCCCCAGCCCTCAATGCCAAGCCTATTGTTTTCAGGGTTTATTCATGGTACCAGACGGTGGTCTGCAGACTCCTTCCTCTCATGACCAGTCTTGGTCACTACAAAATGCAGCAGACCCACTGCTGGCTACACAGACATCCCTGTGAGGAGCCTGTGGTTATTCCAGTGCTTCCCACCCCTCAGCCTTCCGCTGACAAGTACTCAACTCACAAAAGGCCCTTCTTGTTACAAAGCAAACACTGAGGCCTTGAAGCCTCAGGACATGAACTTCACTGCGGAGGTGGACCTGGAAGGCAGGTCTTCCAAGCTCCAGGACTGCTTTCTTCCCAACTCACCGGAGTTCCATCCTCACATACAACAGAGAAAGGAAAGTACAGGAGTCGAAAACAGGTGATGTTCTTATACACACAGGAAAAGGCTCTTTAAGGATATTAACTACAATTCCTGGTGGGCTTTCTTTTTTTGTGTGGGATTACTAGTGTTTATTTTCTTATTTTACTCTTCTGAGTATTTTTAAAAACACATATAAGCTCCTGCGACAAAAATTCTTTTTCATTTAAAAAAAAAAGAAAAAGAAAAGGCCTAATGACATTCTTAATGTGATATAAACTTACTTCAAGTATAATTTTAATTTTAAAAAGCTTAAAATATGACATTACTGGTTAACTTACATTTTACGTCAAAATAACACCTTATAAGAACGTTGTGTGATGATTTTCTACCATAATGTTAATTTGAAATGCAAAAACTAAATGAGCACATGCAAACATAAAATTAATTTGTTAGTAAATACAGAACTGGAAGGATTAAATCATTCAACATTGAGCCATTAATATGTAAGCAATTAAAACTAAAGTACCTGTCACCATGGTATGGTAAGATAATAATATATAAATAAATCCATTAAGCAAAAATGTTTAAATGAAGTTTGTAACAGCATGAGGATTACGATGAGTCTCAAGCACTAACTGCAACTCCAGATGTTAGGTGGTAATTCAGCAAACAGGGATGGCGTGAGCAAGCAGCATGAATGAACACACACGAGGACTTTCAAGTTGAAGGTGACATTCAGCTTTGACTACAAAAGGGAAGGATTCCCCCCATTACAGAGGCATGGTACACTGCCCTCTGTACCTGGCACATCGTGGGGGAGCTCAGAGGCCACCTTCTTCTCTGCCATGTTGCTGCTATCATGGGTTTCTGGGAGACAGCCCAGGGGGCTCCTCCCTTCACAGGGACTAGTCTCTTCTGAAGAAGCATTTGTTGTGTTGTCGCCAAGATTTGCTGACACAGAGTTACCTTTATCCCCAACTTCTGTTGGCTCTACAGTAAAATGCACAATAAAACTTTAAAAATATTCTTTAAAATTGCTTCAGGACAAATGGCCACATGCAATCAACAACTAAAAATGATCAATCATCAAAAATCCTACTTCTATCTGATGGCCATTTTAAAGCAATTAGATCCAGGATATTTTCCAACAGGCAATCCAAAGAGAATATTTTAAACTATTTCATATATTAGAAAGTTTAAATAAGTAATATAAAAATGAACATATTTTATCACATACAAAAATAGATATTCTGGAATATAAATAATTTTTCACCAACAAATCTCATAGGGAAGTGGCAACTTCTTAGAAAGTATAATTAGAGTCATGGGTATAACATTTATCACAAATCCTGCAAAATACATACAAAGCATTACAACTGTTTTGCATGTTACAAGAGACGAGGGGCTCCTAATCTCCTTAGAAACATAAAATTAAGTGGTTGTCTGCAGCAGAAACTTTCATTTTGCAAATAAGATGGAGGTTTCATAAGTAACACTGACAAGGTATTTCTTTTTAACCAAGTAATGTCGTTACCCTCAGGTTTTCCTTGCTCAGGAGCGTCCGGCATCTTGCTGTCATTGTCTCTGTCAAGGGACTGGTCGTCAGCCTCTTCTCTGCTTCTCTCAGCATCTTTACAATTACTATTCTCAGTCTCATTCTTGTCTTTTTCAATTTCTTCTGGGCTTTTAACATCATCAGCTTCTCCCTTTTTGGCTCTTATGGATTCCAAAATTTCTTCTACAATAAAAATAACCAAAAAATAAATGCCACTTCGGATTTTCAATACAAATTATTAAAGAGAAAAATTAAATGTTTTCAAAGTACCAGAACTGAATTATGTGATAAGGCCCCACCACTAAATATTTTTTGATGATCTATTCATGCTTTAGTTTTATTCTTTATTTAAGATGATACTGTATTTATAGTTTTATATATAGATCAATAGGAAATATTTGTAAGTCAACACACTTGATTAAAGTCTACTTCATGCTGCTTTAAAGGGACTGCAGACGGTTCTCTATTAATGCGCCAAAAAGGGGTTTGTCCATTATAATTCATGAAAGGAAATTAAAAGAGGAAAAAACCTGGCTGACATTAATAAAAGTTCCTACAATTCATCTGCAGTACAGAAGGGAGGGAATTATTGATATCCCCACAGAGTTCTGAACACTGGAACTTTTCTGATGGCAAAATTGTACATATTTTTCTAAACAGATGTCAAAGAGAAATATTCCAACTACCAGACATAAAAAATATATAATTTATTGTAACTAAGTCTGCCTGTTTCTCAAGATAAAGTCTATTTGTGTTTAACAGGACTCATGTGTGACAGCATGACTATCATTCTTCAGAAATATGTATGAATTCAAGAGAACAAGCATAGATACAGTTGAACTGAATGCATTAAACATAAACATCTATATTAAGCAAAATGAGATGAAGAAAATTAACAAGATCCTATATATATTAGATAATGTATACAGGAGAGCAGAACCAGCTAGGTAAAAGTATACCTACCTGGTCATTTTATCTAAGTTAAAAGGCACATTAGAAAATACAGCTGATGCTTATTAAACCCGCACAGAACATATATAGCTGGTTGCTCCGCTTTGGAACCAGCTTCCTGCTAATGGATGCATCTGGGAGGCAGGGGAGGGGAGGCTCACGTGGAATTCCTGGCTCCTGGCTTCAGCCTGGCTCAGTCCTGGCTCCTAAGAGCATTTGGGGAGTAAACCAGCTGATGAAAAATCTCTCATTCTGCCTTTTGAATAAATAAATACTTCTTTTTAAGGCAATAATGACTGGCTCTAGGACAAACAAAGACTGGGGATTGGGAAGGAAATAGACCTCTCACTGCATACTCTTCTTATAATGCTTAAACTTTTAAATTAATCATATGGGCCGGCGCCACGGCTCACTAGGCTAATCCTCTGCCTGTAGCGCTGGCACCCTGGGTTCTAGTTAGTCCCGGCTGGGGCACCGGATTCTGTCCCGGTTGCTCCTCTTCCAGTCCAGCTCTCTGCTGTGGCCTGGGAGGGCAGTGGAGGATGGCCCAAGTGCTTGGGCCCCGCACTCTCATGGGAGACCAGGAGGAAGCACCTGGCTCCTGGCTTCGGATCGGCACAGGCACCGGCCGTAGCAGCCATCTGGGGGGTGAACCAACAGAAGGAAGACCTTTCTCTCTGTCTCTCTCTCTCTAACTCTGCCTGTCAAAAATAAAAATAAAAATAAAAAAGAGAGAGAGAGAGAGAGAGAGAAAGAAAAAAATTAATAATATGTAGGGCCAGCATAATGGTGTAGCAGGTAAAGCCATAGCCTGCAATACCGGCATCCCATGTAGGGGCCAGTTCCTGTCTTGGCTGCTCCAATTCTGATTCAGCTCCCTAATACACCTGGGAAAACATCAGAGAATGGCCCAAGTGCTTTTGGGTCTCCCCCTGCTACACTTGTGGGAGACCCGAAAGAAACTCCTGGCTTCCAATTTTGGCCAGGCCCAGACCCAGCTGTTGCGGCCATTTGGGGAGTGAACTATAGATGGAACATCTCTCTGTCCCTCTCTCTCTCTCTCTCTCTCCGTACCTCTTGTTCAAATGTTCAAATAAATGTTCAAATAGATGTTAAAATAAATAAATCTTTAGAAAAATATATAGCACATGCAATTATGAGTTTAAAAAATTAACTGAAGGGCCGGCGCCGCGGCTCACTAGGCTAATCCTCCGCCTAGCGGCGCCGGCACACCGGGTTCTAGTCCCGGTCGGGACGCCGGATTCTGTCCCGGTTGCCCCTCTTCCAGGCCAGCTCTCTGCTCTGGCCAGGGAGTGCAGTGGAGGATGGCCCAGGTGCTTGGGCCCTGCACCCCATGGGAGACCAGGAAAAGCACCTGGCTCCTGGCTCCTGCCACCGGATCAGTGCGGTGCGCCGGCCGCAGCGCGCCGGCCGCGGCGGCCATTGGAGGGTGAACCAACGGCAAAGGAAGACCTTTCTCTCTGTCTGTCTCTCTCACTGTCCACTCTGCCTGTCAAAAAAAAAAAAAAAAAAAAAAAAAAAAAAAAAGAAAGAAAGAAAAAAATTAACTGAAGAAATAGGGGTCAGCATTGTAGTGTAACAGCTGTTAAGCAGCTGCCTGCAGCGTCAGCATCCTATATGGGTGTGGGTTCGTGTCCTCGCTGCTCCACTTCCAATCCAGCTACCTGCTAATGACCTGGGAAAGCAGTGGAGGGTGGTCTAGGTACTTGAACCCCTCCACCCATGTGGGAGATCCAGAGGAAGCTCCTGGCTCCTGGCTTTGGCCTGGCCCTGCCCTAGCAATCGTGGCTATTTGGGGAGTGAACCAAGGCATGGAAGATCTTTCACACACTCTGTAACTTGCCTTTCAAATAAAAAAAAATTTTTTTTAAAAATAAAAATAAAAGCCAGAGTTGAGCAAGAAAATAAGGAAATACTGAATTATAATTCAAGGTATAAAATACACAAGTCTATAGTGATAAGAAACCAAAGACTGATTAAGTGGAGAGCAAATATCCTGTGCAAAAAACTTAGGGAGGTTGAACATAACTCACCACCCCCAAGGGTGCACTGTCCAGGACTTGCTTTCAAAGAACACAGTATCAATGGAGAGGAAGAGAGAGAGAGACTTGACAGTGGGGAAACCTAACACTACCGCAACCAGATGATCAAGGGACCCTTAATATGAGAACAGCACTTCATCTCTGTGGTCTTCCTATCCACAATCCGTAATCCTGGGCTAACCATGTGAAGAACCTGAGAACAACCCATATTCTACAAAACATCTGCCTAACAGCGCTCAAAACTGTCAAGGTCATCAAAAACAAAGAAAGGCCGAGAAACTGTCAGTCTAGATTACAGAAGAAGAGATGACTAACTAGCAAGTGATATATCCTTGGTTGGACCAAAAACAAAACAAAACAAAACAAAAACAAAAACAGAAAAAAGGATTGTGAATAAAGTATGCATTTGAGTTATTAACAGTGTATCAACACTGGCTCACTAATTATGACACAGGTAGCACAGGAATGTAAGATGTTAACAATAGGGGAACCAGCTGCAGGGAATACAGGAACACTGTGTACTATTTCTGCAACTTTTCCATAAACCTAAAACTTTCTAAAGTTAAAAGTTTCATTAGCTGGGGCTGGCACTATGGGGTAACAGGTAAAGCTACCATCTGCAGTGCCAGCATCCCATGAGTGCCAGTTCGAGTCTCAGCTGCTCCACTTCCGATCCAGCACCCTACCAAGATGGCCCAAATCCATGGGCCCCTGAACCTACAGGGAAGACTCAAATGTAGTTCTTGGCTCCTGGCTTTGGATTGGCCCAGCTCCAGCCCTTGAAGCCAATTTGGGGAGTGAACCAGTGAGTACAAGATCTCTCTTTCTGTCTCTCCATCTCTCTCTTCCGCTCTGTAACTCTGACTTTCAAATAAATAAATCTTAAAAAAAAAAAAAAAAATTCATTAGCAAAAAAGAAGGGATGGAAGGAAGAAGGGAAAGTTCAAATTTTCAGAATTTTTTAAGATTTAAATAGGATTGCCAGGACTAGCAATGTGGCAAAGCAGGCTAAACCTCCACCTGCAATGCCAGCATCCCATATGGGTGCTGGTTCGAGACCCAGCTGCTCCACTTCCGATCCTGCAGCTCCCTGCTAATGTGCCTGGGAAGGCATCAGAGGATGGCACAAATGCTTGGCCCCTGCACCCAAATGGGAGACTCAGATGAAGCTCTGGGCTCCTGGCTTCAGCCTGGCTTAGTCCAAGCCATAGCAGCCATTTGGGGAGTGAACCAGCAGATGAAAGACCTCAATCTCTCTCTGTCTCTCTCTCTCTGTAACTCTGGCTTACAAATAAATATTTTTAAAAGATTTTATTTATTTCAAAGAGTTATAGAGAGAGGTAGAGACACAGAGAGAGAGGTCATCCATTCCGTTGGTTCACTCCCCTAATAATCACAATGACCAGAGCTGAGCTGGTCCGAAGTCAGGAGCCAGGAGCTTCCTCCGAGTCTCCCACACCAGTGCAGGGGCCCAAGCACTTGGGCCATCTTCTACTGCTTTCCAAGGCCATAGCAGAGAGCCAGATCAGAAGTGGAGCAGCTGGGACTTGAACCACTGCCCATATCGGGTGCTAGTGCTGCAGGCTGGGGCTTTAACCACTGTTCCACAGCACCGGCTCCATAAATAAACCTTTCTAAAGTTTTTAAAAATAAAATAGGATTACCAAAAAGGTTAACCATATGAGGAGCATGAGTAAAAACCCAAAGCAAGAAACTTAACTCTAAAATGTGTAACACATCTAAGTATGTTGGAGTGAACAAGGTTCTCTCAGAAAAATGAAATATAGAAAATTAAAGTAAAAATACATACATTAAGATTTTAGGGGGTTGGCACTGTGGCATAGCAGGTAGAGCCACTGCTTACAGTGCCTGCATCCCATACGGGCACAGGTTCAAGTCCTGGCTGCTCCACTTCCAATCCAGCTCTGTGCTAAAGCCTGGGAAAGCAGTACAAGATGGCCCAAGTCCTTGGGCCCCTGCACCTGTGTGGGAGACCGGGAAGAAGCTCCTGGCTCCTGGCTTCAGCCAAATGGGGAGCGAACCAGCAGATGGAGGACCTCTCTCTCTGCCTCTGCCTCTCTATAACTCTGCCTTTTAAATAAATAAATAAATATTTTAAAAATTCTGAATATATTTTCAAATTCTGTGGTAATTTCATACCAAAGAGTTTATCTCAAATTTAACAAAAAGAAAATGAGAAAATGCCCCTCTCACCATTAGCTGCCGCCAGAAAGGATTTGTTACTGCCCCGAGCCTTATTGGTCAGATCTTCAGTTATGTCCATGTGCCGATGGATTTCCTCACGCATTTCTTCTAGAATTTTGCAAAGTTCTGCTTCCCAATAATCTTTGTCTAGAGAGTCGATTAATTCTGCGAGCTGAACCTTTGTACTGTAGTACCAAATTTTCTTTTCATTTTCATTTTCTGTGTCTTCTTCTCTGTTTAAAAAAAGGGGAGGGGAAATACTTTAGATATTACATAAAACTCCACTTAACTGACAATTTCATCTACCCAGTACAAAATTAAAATATGTAACATAGTTTATACACTAAATTTCAACATATGTGCTCAGAAGAGATTCCTTCAGATCTTATTTAATTTACTCTTATTTTATTTAAGCAATGGTTAATTATTTTTATTTCTTTGCCCAGAGCAACTGAAGATAAAATAATTTCAGAGTGGAAGCAGGGAAGAGAAGAATTAGATCGCAGCAATGAAGGGTATCTAAAATCATGACGCACAAGAGAGGAGCCCAGAATTCAGAGTCCCGTGACAGCACGTGGAGGGCAGTTGCAGTCACCCCTCCATGAACCGTAGGACCACCAATGTAACAACAGGGCGAGCAGAACGGTATCTCCCAAACGTGTCAGCACTGTTCAAACTGTGTTCAGTAGTACATGGAAGGTGGAAGGCAGATTCATATTATATTTTGAAATACTCCCATCTAAATAAGAAAAACGCTTTGCCAAGGGCTGCTTCTTGAAGATATTCTCTTAGTTGAGCAATAACACCATCATCTTTCTTTCTCATGGACAATCAAACTCAGACTAGAAAGAAGTAGCTTCCTCTCTCACCTAAAAGTCTCTTGGGGCTGGCACTGTGGCACAGCAGGTTAAAGCCCTAGCCTGAAGCGCCAACATCCTATATGGGTGCCAGTTCTAGTTCCGGCTGCTTCTCTTCCCATCCAACTCTCTGTTATGGTCTGGGTTAGCAGTAGAGGATGGCCCAAGTCCTTGGGCCCCTGCACCTGTGTGGGAGACCCAGAAGAAGCTCGTGGATCCTGGCTTCAGCCTGGCCCAGCCCTGGTCATTGCAGCCATTTGGAGAGTGAACCAGCAGGTGGGAGCTCTCTCTCCTTCTCTCTCTCTATAACTCTAACTTTCAAATAAATAAATAAATATCAAAAATAAATAAAATAAAAATAAGGCAAATTCATGTCTAGGCCAAGACTTAGGCAAACACAAGTAATGATATTTCCCCTCCTGTTCAAAAGGGACTGAGGAGTATGGGTGAGGAACCTGATAAACCTCCGGGCTTCCCAAGTGGCAAACTGATGGCTGTGAAAGACCTGGCTGTATGGGAGACGAGGACATGGACAAGACATGACCTCTCCAGGTCTCTGAGCTATTCTGGTTACCTCACTTGTACAATGAGGGCACAGGAGTACCTGCCTTAGGGTCACCGTGAAGATTTACAGGAAAATGAAAAATCCTCCAGCACAGTACCTGGGCATGTCACGAGTACTCAGTAGTACATATTATTACTACTATCACAATACTACATAAAAATTCAGCAGAGGGGCCGGCGCTGTGGCATAGCAGGTAAAGTCGCTGCCTGCAGTGCTGGCATCCCATATGGGTGCTGGCTCGAGTCCCGGCTGCTCCACTTCTGATCCAGCTCTCTGCTACGGCCTGGGAAAGCAGTGGAAGATGGCCCAAGTCCTTGGGCCCCTGCACCCACTTGGGAGACCCGGAAGAAGCTCCAGGCTCCTGACTCTGAATAGGCCCAGCTCTGGATGTTGCAACCATTTGGGAAGTGAACCAATGAATGAAAGACCTCTCTCTCTCCCTCTCTGAAACCCTCTGCAACTCCACCTTTCAAATAAATAAATATTTTTTAAAAATTCAACAGAATCCCAACAAACTCATTCAGTAATTAAAATTTTTAAAGAAAAATGAGTTTGCACACAAATTTCTGAAAAATTATTCACTTTTTATCTATTTGAGTCAGTCAAACACAGACACAGAATGAGAAAGAGAGACTGACAACAGAGCTTCCATTTGCTGATTCTCTCACCAAATGTCCTCAAAGGCCAGGGCTGAACCAGGAGCCAGGCACCAATTCAGGTCTCCTATATGGGTGGCAGGATCCCTAGGCCCTGTACCCACAGAAGAGACCCAGAAGAAGCTCCTGGCTGGCATGGCACAGCCCTAGCTGTAGCAGCCATTTGGGGATTGAACCGCAGATAGAAGATCTCTTTCTACCTCTCCTTCTCTCTGCAACTCTACCTTTCAAATAAATAAAATCAATAAATCCTTTTTTAAAAAGATGCGTTACTATAGGAGCAAATCTAATTAAATGGATATTCTGTCCATTTTTTCAAGCAACTCCAGCCTACTGAGAGGGCCCGTAACGGCCGGTGTTAGCGCCAGGTCTGCACCTATATATGAAGAAGTCTTCCAGCCACAAAAGAAAATACATTATTTCTTGCGGCAGTCCCTTCTACGTTGAACTGCTCTTTAAGAGTTCTTGCCTACAACGAGATCACTCAGACCCCTGCTAGGTCCCACCAGTTCATCCTGACTGTGCTGTCAGGGTCATGAAATAAATCAAACACCTCCTGCACACACCTGTCTTCAAACCTTTCACAGCACTGGTAAGTTCACTGTGTTTTTTTTTTTTCAAGACAGACAAGCTGTTTCAAACACTCTAAGTGTTCCTTACACAGCCTGCTTTCCAATTCTTACTGACTTGATATTCTTTCCCTAAATGTGCAGTTTGTCAATGTCCTTCTAAAACTGTGGTACCCTATAACTGTTTTTTATTCTGCCCATCAAAGGCAGCAATCACACTGACTGAAGTTTCTCCCCCGTGAAGCTGCGGAAGGAAAAATTCTCTACCAGTACGAAGTGGCAGAGTAATGACAATAACTGTTCAGGCTTTGCTTATAGTTGGTCTTATTAGACAACTTGTAAACTCCCAATTATTTGCCTCACTGTAGAAGTGGCAGCATCTTTCCCGTGTAAACACACAGTGATACACTTATACACCTGCTTTTGGAGCTGCAGCAGGGTTTCCACAGTTCTGTTCCTAGAAGGCCTGCTATATTCCTTAGGCTCGCTTCCTTAAGCACTCTGCTCGGCACACCTTCGCAGAGACCAGGCAAGGACAAGACAACAACGTCTGCGACGAAAATAATTAAGAGCAAACATGCATACTGTATGTCTACATTTTAGTTTCTTGGTTTTTAACCTAGGGCAGATGGGAAGGTTAATGACTAACAATAAATTTCAGGATTTCAATTCTATTTCCACAGAAATTACCAGTAAGGAACACTACTATATTGGGTTGAATAGTTTCCCTGAAAATTCAGGTCCACCTGAAACCTCAGAGGGTGACATTATTTGGAAATACGGTTTTTGTGCATGAAGTGAGTCAAGAATTTCTTGAGATGAAATCATCCTGGATTTAGGAATCAGATCAATGAGAGAGCAGAGAGACAAACAGTATGAAGATAAAAGCAGAGAGTCAAGTATGGCAACTGTCTTGGAGCCCAGAAAAGCCAAGTCGGCCAGAAGCTAGGAGAGGGGTGTGCAACAGCCCTTGGAGACGCTGTGATGTCAGACTCTGGCCCCCGGGACAGTGAGTCCATAAATTCCTGCTGTTTTAAGCCACTTGTTTTGTGACACTTTGTTACAGCAGCCCTTGAAAACCTCCAAATGTTGATATCAGAAAGTGCAATGTGGCTGGAACACAAACCTAAAAATGTGGAAAAGAGGTGAGCAGTAGGTGATGGGAGGAAACGATGAGTTCTGTTTTAGACATGCTACGTTTGAGGTGTCTCTTGCGTGGACGTGTACATGAGGCTGCTGCACGGAGAAACTGCACGAGCAGAAGGGATTCAGATACAGGCCTAATGGCAATTAAAGCCAGTAAGTAAGCAGGTGTCCTGCAACTAGACTGGGGAGTCAGGGTAGAAAGGCAGGGGCATAACTCAGAGGCCAGCACTGTGGCACAGTGGGGTAAAAGTTGCCACCTGCCATACCTGCAACCCATGTTAGAGCAACAGTTCAAGTCCTGGCAACTGCACTTCCAATCCAGCTTCCTGTTAATGTACCTAGGAAGCCAGTGGAATACGGCCCAAATGCTTAGGCCCCTGCTTCTCAAGTGGAAGACCTGAACGGAGTGCTGGCTCCTGGCTTTGGCCTGGCCCAGACCTGGCTGTTATGGTCATTTGGGGAGTGAAGAAGCTGATGGAAGATCTCAAAATCAACTTCAATCTCTTTCTCTTGCCCCAACTTCCTTCTGTCACTCTGCTTTTTAAAAAAATCATTTTTTTAAAAAAGATACACCATAGGGGTGGTGCTGTGGCGCAGTAGGTTAAGCCACTGTCTACAACATAGTCACACCATATGAGCACTGGTTCCAGTTGCATCTGTTCTACTTCCAATCCAGCTCCCTGCTAATGGGCTGGGAACTCAGCAGAACACGGCCCAAGTGCTTGGGCCCTTGCACCCACCTGGGAGACCTGGATGAAGCCGTTGGCTTCTGGCTTCAGGCTGGTCCAGCCCCAGCTGTTGAGGCCATTTGGGGAGTAAACCAGCAGATGGAAGATTTTATTTATTTATTTATTTATTTTTTGGACAGGCAGAGTTAGACAGTGAGAGAGAGAGAGACAGAGAGAAAGGTCTTCCTTCCGTTGGTTCACCCCCCAAAATGGCCACCATGGCCGGTGCGCTGTGCTGATACAAAGCCAGGAGCCAGGTGTTTCCTCCTGGTCTCCCAAGCGGTAAAGAGCCCAAGGACTTGGGCCATCCTCCACTGCCTTCCCGGGCCACAGCATAGAGCTGGACTGGAAGAGGAGCAACCGGGACAGAATCCGGCGCCCCAAGCGGGACTAGAACCCGGGGTGCCCACGCCGCAGGCAGAGGATTAGCCTAGTGAGCCGCGGAGTCGGCCAGATGTATTGATCTTCTTCTTTTTCAAAGTTTATTTATTTTAAAGTCAAAGTTTCAGAGAGAAAGGAAGGAAGAGAGAGAAGACAGGAATCGAAGTGGCACCCATATGGGATACCAGCAGCTTTACCTGCTACACAGCAATACTGACCCCTCTCTTTTGATCTTGATCTCTTCCTCTCCCTCTGTGTCTGTCATATATGCTTTACTAACCTACACAAATAACATTTTAAAATTCTTATTAAGGGGCCTGTGTTGTGACAT